AACCAGAACGATATTCTCGCAGCGCCTAATGCGGCTATACATCTGCAAAATTGGCTGGTGGAAATCTTCAAAGGAGTGATGTCCACCACCACGTCCACCAGTCCATTGCAGGATGATAGGAAACTTCGGATTAGCCTTTGCGATATTGATGACTTGCTGAATTGCATCGACAGAGCCCGGCTTGAAAGCGATGTGCTTGATACCCAGCGTTTCAATGTACTCGTTGGCCACCTCGATAGACGGCACACCGGCACCGATGGTCAATCCTTCAATTGGCACACCCTCAGCCCTCAGCCTGCCAATCAGGGGAATCTGCCAAGCCATAGCCCGGGGGTTAACATAGATCAGGTTGATTGTAATACCACGACCAGGGGGGATCGCCTTTTCAATCTTGTTGACGGCCTCGGTCATTGATTTGGCATTGTAATAACCACCACCAGCAAGTTCAATGTGATAGCCAGCGTTCATGGTCGCAGCAACAAAATCCCATGGAACAGTGGTTGGCGTCATTCCAGCAACCATGATGGGAGGGATGCCTAGCAGTCGACTCATCTTGGTATCAACGAAGGTTTGCCCCACTGCGTTCTTCACGAGACGCGGTCCATATTCCTTAACCCAGTCAATGGCATACTGGACGGAGTGTTCATCGCGATCGAAGAGCTCAGGCTTGTAGCCAACTTCGGCGTTGGTGCCATCCATAGCCCCAGCAAGAACCACGCGGACACCGGTACCATCCTTGTTGCGGTTTGTAAGAACTCCAAGACCGGAGATGCCACCAGGTCCAAAGTCAACGATATGTGTGGCCCCTGAGAAGACAGTTGCCTGCTCCCAATTAACGGCATCGTGAGTGATCATTCGAACCAGGGCGGGAACAACATTAGCTTCACCGGACTTGCTCAGATCACTGCCAGACTTCGTATCGAAAACCGGGATTGCGAGGGACCCGGCAGGGATCTCGATGTCTTCAAGATCTTCCAGAATCCTGTCATATGCCGGGTACAAGTACTGGCTGTGGAACGGAGCGGTGATAGGAAGGAAGCGGTTAACGAAGCGAACTTTACGTTGTGTGTAGGGCACCCGGTTTTGGTCCAAGCCTGTCGGAGCCTTGACCTTGCGCAGGCGCAAGTTGAGACCGTAAAGAGAGAGAGGCGGTCCAGTGACAACGAAATTCCGAGCACTGTTGACAAGCGAAATGGAGATATGGCGATCCTCGGGAAGATGCTGGTTCGTAGTGTCAATATGTTCCTGAACGGCAGATCTTGGAAGGTCTCGGATAGACAACATAGGCGTAGGCGTGCCTTCTCCGTTTTCGATCGAATCCTGGAGGACGGACGGGGCAATGGAAGTGCGGGGGTAGGCCTGCTGACTACGGAGACCAATCCAGAAAAGCATCGTCAAGGCATTCTTGGCGGCCTTGTCGAAACTCTCCCAAGTAGAGGCAGAGGCAATTGCAGCAGCTGTTACGACGCCCTGGGAATGGCCAGTGGTTCCACTGAACCTTTCCAGAAGCTCACCGGGCGTTTTGCCCAAGACCTTGCAGGTCACAACAAAGTGCGCCAGCTGAACCAGTCCGATCAACGGCAAGCTCACCGGGGCCGACACAAGGTAGTCGGTGTCGGGCTGAGAGTCACGATCCTGAAGCCATTGCATGATATCCAATCCCTTGGAATAGAGCTTGCTGGCTTCGGGCTCATGAGAGAGACTCTGCAGCAATTCCGCGGACGAAGTGATAAGATCGTCGACGAAGGAAGGGTAAGTGGTGTAGATTTCTCTCAGCTCATCAAAGTACTCTTCAATATTTCCTTGTCCTCCGAAAACCGAGTAGATGCTCGCCTTCTCGTCCGAGGCAGCTCGGAACAATGCGGAGTCGTAGGGCTTAAGAGGGCGACCAACTGCTGTTCTCCCAGCATAGTAAGCCTGAACGACGGTAACCTTCTTGGAGGTAATGCCGGGTAGGCTGGCAGCAACAGCATGGACGTCATTGCCCCTCATAAAGGCGCGTTCAAACTCGTTCAGAGCCAGCTTCAGAACCTCCACATAAGTTCCACTCGCATCATCCTCGCCTTCTTCAACTTCATGTGCAACATGTCCGATGTATCTAGCCACCAGTTCCGGAACTGAGGAAGGCTCATCATCCTGAGCAAGCTCGTCCGTCGGCTGTGGTAAAGAAGCTGTAAAGGTATCCTTCAATTGCGACGCATGGAAATGAAGGGAGGTCGGCACAAGGAAGGAGAACTCGAGTGACCCATGTGTGAGAATAAGGGGCCTCAACGACTGTGACGAGCGAGGGGTATTAATGCCCGTCTGGGGGCCAGTGGACGTTCCGTACATCTCGTGGTCTCGTGTATGTCTCTATTGGTTTGGTTTGGGATATCGCAATTGAAAGCCAAGCAATGGCGCGAAGGTATTATCAACAAGGATATATCGAGACTCTGTTATGTATAAGCGTTATGCAAGATCCTAGGAAAATTTCGAGGAAGGAATGATATTGCAATGGCAAGGAAGGCTCTGGATGATGGGGTAGGAAAGACACTTGCGGGGAAGAAATCCGGAACGAAAACACTTTTTTTTTCTTCCCAAGGAGGGGAGAGTGCAATAGTTGAGTGAAGGTTATGAACAATTGAATCAACTGTTCCCGGGGTATCCTACCTAATTCTATCACGGATGGGTCTTTTCTTTCGAACAATACTTGATCAAGTCTGGCCGAGTTTCATCGACTGGTCCACCGTCCACCGAGGACAAGATAGCGGTGTAATGAGGTTATGGGCAAGTTTTAGAGGGGAAAAAATATTACAATATGGAAAAAACGGTAAAATAGATATGAAGAACAAAATGAAGAAGGATGACAATAGAAGGGGAAAAAAGGGAGAGAAGGTGGACTGGTACAGACTGGAGTGGACGGGGTGAACCAGACCTTAATTGGTACAAAAAAAAAGCTGTTCACCACATCCAGGCGATATTTTATTATTACACGTGCAGAGATAGGTGTGGCACTCACACAACGCTGCCCACACAACCAAGCACCACAACCACAACACACTCTGTTGAACCGGCCGAGCGGAGGCAGAATTCCGCCGGCTTGGGCTGGTTGAATGGGAACTGACCGGATTAGGTATGGTGGGCAAGAGGATCTCCCCAAAGGTCCAAAATGGTTGGGCTGGCCCGTAGGGTTGGATATGACAATACCTGACCAGTGACCACCAATGTACCCTCCCACTCTACCCGAGTTAGTCTAGTACTCATAACTACTCTCTATATCTATCTATATATCCATGCAACGTATGTTCAACGCCTGCCTGGCACCAACCAAGTGTGCAATGTAGGTATTAAATCGCAATTGTAGTGGTTGTAGTACCATTAAGGTAGCGTACCTACCCGCATTATACATGTATACCTTGCATTTTAAAGAAAATCTATAGGAGCTCTGAAAGACCTAGCTACTGCCTCCATCAATAGCCATATATGCGCACCATAGTCTACATAGAGACAGATAATATGCTAAGGCAAAAGTATTAGTCCCTTCATAACACGTATTTGAGATGTATCTAGCCCCATTTCTAGCCTGAACGTAGTCGCTTATACTGCTCTCATCTTCATTACTTATGCAAGAACGTCTACTGGGAAATGGGGACCCAAGATCGGTTCAATTAGAATGGGCCAATCAATGCTACTCGAATGTTATCATAGTACTCACAGACATTGACGAGTGGCATATAGTCGATCAAAGAAGTACTTCCGTGGTACACTGTTGTCAATGATCGCCTAGCTGTCACTGGTTGAGGCATTCCGTTTCATACTTCTTGAAGCCAAGCTGTAGATTCGTACTTGCTACACATTTCCCAACCATTACCATCTAATTCACTCCGAGATCTCCAATTTCTAAACTCCAGATAGTATGTATGTAAAGCCAGAAAATGCTGCTGAGTGACTATACAAAGACACCTATGATGAACAGACACTACTTAGTAGAGATAAGTAACTACTAGTATTGTAGAGAGTATACCTTGTGTACATGGAGTGTAGGTATCAGCTAAGTCATTTATTACGCGTGGGTAATGAGAAAAAAAAATTACGGAGCCAGGTTAGCTCAACTTATGATTTGGTTTGACTCCAACTTCCATATTTCCGTTTATCATGATTATTATTATTATTATTATTATTACTATTATTATTATTATTATCACCATCATGGACTCTCATTGGAGGGGAGAGGATGTTCTACCCTGTTCCATTCCAATTTAATGGCTGTTTCCATGAGTTGTTCCCCAAAACGTCCCTCCTGGAGTACATCCATACTCCGTACTCCGTACCGCACGAAAGTAATCTCCCGCCCCAACACTCACCAAAAGCTTCTAGTCCAAAATCCCATCCACCCATAACTCTGTAAGCCCTCTTCTGTCGGTGCATAGATAGTATCTTCCAATCTCCCTATTTCGTCTAATAGAAATTCATAATTCTACTATTTTATTTTTTTTATTGTGATTTTTTTTGTCCCCTATCCCATCCACTTTTCTTTGGGACATCTCGGTCCCAGGTCATCGGCGAATTCTCCCCACCGCCAGTGGCTCCAGGCTGGGGTGAGTACTCTTAATTCCCACCTCTAACAACTTTTTTTCCCTTCCGTTCCAGCATCTTTTTTTCCGCTCGCTGGTTGTATGTGCGGTTCAACCAGGAGCCAGAAAACAACATCTTCTTTCCAAGTAATTATTTCTCTATTTTGCTGACTGGTTCTTGTTCAATTAGAACTGAAATTGTTCAACCATCATCACCTTATATTATCAGTTTAATTATATTCTTCTTCTCTTACCCTAAGCCTCATCACTCGATTTCCCTACCGTTGGCCGCTGTTCTTCCTGGATTATCTCTCGAGCCGGTTTTTCAAGTCGTATCTTTCCCCCACCAAGTCTGTCGCAATTTCTTGATACTGCGACCGCTATTCTCGAACCGCACCGGGGCTCTTTTTTATACTCTTACCATTCTATTACCTAGTCTCCTTCAACATGCGGCCCGAAATCGAGCAGGAGCTGGCTCACACTTTGCTGGTTGAACTTCTGGCCTACCAGTTCGCTTCACCGGTGAGATGGATAGAGACCCAGGATGTTATTCTCGCAGAGAAGAGGACAGAGCGAATTGTGGAAATCGGTCCCGCAGACACACTGGGTGGTATGGCGAGACGGACCCTCGCATCAAAATATGAGGCATACGATGCTGCTACTTCCGTGCAGCGTCAAATACTTTGCTACAACAAAGATGCGAAGGAGATCTATTACGATGTTGATCCCGTGGAGGAAGAAGAAGCGCAACCATCGGCAGAGCCTGCGGCCGGTGCCCCTGCTGCTGCTGCTCCTGCCGCCGCTGCTGCTCCCGCGGCTGCTGCTCCACCTAGTGCCGGCCCTGCAGCAGCAATTGAGGACGCACCGGTTACGGCAGTGGATGTGCTGAGAACTCTGGTCGCGCAGAAGTTGAAGAAGAGCTTGTCGGATGTGCCCTTGAGTAAAGCCATCAAAGATCTGGTTGGAGGTATGTATTTGCCATCTCATCCGCCTCCACATCATTGCAAATGGATATTGATTTGGTTCCCTCTCACTACCAGGTAAATCCACTCTGCAGAATGAAATTTTGGGAGATCTCGGAAAGGAGTTCGGTTCGACGCCCGAGAAACCGGAAGACACACCTCTGGACGAGCTAGGCGCATCTATGCAGGCGACATTCAATGGACAACTCGGCAAGCAGTCTTCATCCCTTATTGCTCGCCTGGTCTCGTCGAAGATGCCCGGTGGCTTCAACATCACCGCAGTTCGCAAATACCTTGAGACAAGATGGGGTTTGGGATCTGGTCGTCAAGATGGCGTCCTTCTCCTTGCTCTCACTATGGAACCACCCTCCCGTATTGGCTCCGAGGCTGAGGCCAAGTCGTACCTTGACGATGTTGCCAACAAATACGCTGCCAGCGCCGGCATCAGCCTTTCGGCACCGGCAGCTGGTGGTGATAGCGGGGCAGGTGGTGGCGGCATGCTCATGGATCCGGCTGCGATTGATGCCTTGACCAAAGACCAGCGGGCATTGTTCAAGCAGCAGCTGGAGATAATTGCGCGTTATTTGAAGATGGATCTACGCGCCGGTCAAAAGGCTTACATCACTTCTCAGGAGTCTCAGAAAACATTGCAGGCCCAGCTGGACCTTTGGCAGGCCGAGCATGGCGATTTCTATGCTTCTGGTATCGAGCCGGCTTTCGATGCCCTGAAAGCACGCGTGTATGATTCTTCTTGGAACTGGGCACGCCAAGATGCTCTGAGCATGTACTACGACATCATTTTCGGCAGGCTCAAGGTCGTGGATCGTGAGATTGTGAGCCAGTGCATTCGCATTATGAACCGTTCAAACCCACTGCTTCTTGAGTTCATGCAGTACCACATTGACAACTGCCCCACTGATCGGGGTGAGACTTATCAGTTGGCCAAGGAACTTGGTGAGCAACTTATCGAAAACTGCAAGGAAGTGTTGGGTGTCGCCCCTGTGTACAAGGATGTCGCTGTGCCTACCGGACCCCAGACTACTGTCGATGCCAGAGGAAACATTGGGTACAAGGAGGTTCCCCGGGCCAGCGCTCGCAAGTTGGAACACTACGTGAAGCAAATGGCGGAGGGAGGCCCTATCTCCGAGTACAGCAACCGCACGAAGGTCCAGAATGATCTCCGCAGTGTCTACAAGTTGATCCGCAGACAGCATCGCTTGTCCAAGTCATCGCAACTTCAGTTCAATGCGCTCTACAAGGAAGTTATTCGTGCTCTCAGCATGAATGAGAACCAGATCATGCCCCAAGAGAACGGTTCTGGCAAGAAGACCGGCAGGAATGGTGTCAAGCGCAACGGCAGCCCCCGCGCAGGTAAAGTGGAGACCATTCCCTTCTTGCATCTTAAGAAGAAGTCCGAACACGGCTGGGATTACAGCAAGAAACTCACCGGTGTTTACCTGGACGTATTGGAATCTGCTGCACGGTCAGGTCTCACCTTCCAGGGCAAGAACGTCTTGATGACAGGCGCAGGCGCAGGCTCCATTGGAGCGGAAGTGCTGCAAGGCCTGATTAGTGGTGGCGCCAAGGTGGTTGTCACGACAAGCCGCTACTCTCGTGAGGTCACTGAGTACTACCAAGCCATGTATGCCCGCTATGGTAGCCGTGGCTCACAGCTTGTTGTGGTGCCTTTCAACCAAGGTAGCAAGCAAGATGTGGAAGCACTTGTCGACTATATCTACGACGCAAAGAAGGGTCTCGGCTGGGATTTGGACTTCGTTGTTCCATTTGCTGCCATTCCTGAGAATGGACGTGAAATCGACTCGATTGACTCGAAGTCTGAACTGGCTCACCGCATCATGTTGACAAACCTCTTGCGACTTTTGGGTTGCATCAAGACACAGAAGCAGAGCAACGGTTTTGAAACCCGTCCCGCTCAAGTCATCCTCCCCTTGTCTCCTAACCATGGTACTTTCGGAAACGATGGTCTTTACTCTGAGTCTAAGCTGGGTTTGGAAACTCTTTTCAACCGCTGGTATTCTGAGAACTGGAACAACTATCTGACCATTTGTGGTGCTGTGATTGGATGGACTCGGGGTACAGGTCTCATGAGCGGCAACAACATGGTTGCCGAAGGTGTTGAGAAGCTCGGTGTCCGTACCTTTTCCCAGCAAGAGATGGCCTTCAACTTGCTTGGTCTCATGGCGCCTGCGATCGTCAACCTGTGTCAGCTTGACCCTGTCTGGGCTGACCTTAATGGTGGTCTCCAATTCATCCCTGACCTGAAGGACCTCATGACCAAGCTTCGCACGGAAATCATGGAGACAAGTGATGTTCGCCAGGCAGTCATCAAAGAGACTGCAATCGAAAACAAGATCGTCAATGGAGAGGATAGTGAGGTCCTCTATAAACGGGTGATCGCTGAGCCTCGTGCCAACATCAAGTTCCAGTTCCCTAATCTGCCTAACTGGGAGGAGGATGTGAAGCCACTTAACGACAACCTGAAAGGTATGGTCAACCTGGACAAGGTCGTGGTGGTCACCGGATTTTCGGAGGTCGGACCCTGGGGTAACTCTCGCACACGCTGGGAGATGGAGGCTTACGGCAAATTCTCCCTTGAAGGATGTGTGGAGATGGCATGGATCATGGGCCTTATCAAGCACCACAACGGTCCATTGAAGGGTAAGGCCTATTCAGGATGGGTCGACGCGAAGTCTGGGGAGCCCGTGGATGATAAGGATGTGAAGCCGAAGTACGAGAAGTTCATCCTTGAACATTCTGGTATTCGGCTTATCGAGCCCGAATTGTTCAAGGGCTATGATCCCAAGAAGAAGCAGCTGCTCCAGGAAATTGTCATCCAGGAGGACTTGGATCCGTTTGAAGCTTCGAAGGAGACCGCAGAGGAATTCAAGCGTGAGCATGGCGAAAAGGTGGAGATCTTTGAGTTGCCAGAGTCCGGCGAGTACACTGTGCGCCTGAAGAAGGGAGCCACTCTCTTGATCCCGAAGGCCCTTCAGTTCGACCGCCTTGTTGCTGGCCAGATCCCTACTGGCTGGGATGCTAAGAGATACGGTATCCCTGATGATATCATCGAACAAGTTGATCCCGTCACGTTGTTCGTCCTTGTCTGTACTGCTGAGTCTATGCTTTCAGCTGGTATTACCGATCCGTATGAATTCTACAAGTACGTCCACCTGTCTGAGGTCGGAAACTGCATCGGCTCGGGTATCGGTGGTACCCACGCGTTGCGGGGAATGTACAAGGACCGCTACCTGGACAAGCCTCTTCAAAAGGACATTCTGCAGGAATCTTTTATCAACACGATGAGTGCCTGGGTTAACATGCTTCTCTTGTCCTCAACTGGCCCGATCAAGACTCCAGTCGGAGCTTGCGCCACTGCGGTCGAATCCGTTGACATTGGTTACGAGACGATTGTGGAAGGAAAGGCTCGTGTCTGCTTTGTTGGAGGATTCGACGATTTCCAAGAAGAAGGATCTTATGAATTCGCCAACATGAAGGCGACCAGCAATGCCGAAGACGAGTTTGCCCATGGTCGCACCCCGCAAGAAATGTCGCGGCCCACCACTACCACTCGTGCTGGATTCATGGAGTCTCAGGGTTGCGGTATGCAACTCATTATGAGTGCCCAGCTTGCTCTGGACATGGGTGTACCGATCTATGGTATCATTGCGCTGACCACCACGGCTACCGACAAGATTGGTCGCTCTGTTCCCGCACCCGGTCAAGGAGTTCTCACCACCGCGCGCGAGAACCCTGGCAAGTTCCCATCTCCTTTGCTGGACATCAAGTACCGTCGCCGTCAGCTTGACCTGCGTAAGAAGCAGATTAAGGAATGGCAAGAATCCGAGTTGTTGTACCTCCAGGAAGAAGCCGAGGCTATGAAAGCCCAGGCCGCTGATGAATCTTTCGACGTCTCTGGCTACCTCCAGGAGCGCGCTCAGCACATTGAACGCGAAGCTATCCGCCAGGAGAAGGATGCCCAGTTCAGCCTTGGAAACAACTTCTGGAAGCAGGATTCACGTATCGCTCCTCTTCGTGGTGCTCTCGCCACCTGGGGTCTGACTGTTGATGATATCGGTGTTGCCTCATTCCACGGTACTTCTACTGTCGCTAATGACAAGAATGAATCGGACGTCATTTGCCAGCAGATGAAGCACCTGGGTCGGAAGAAGGGCAACGCCCTTTTGGGTATCTTCCAGAAATATCTCACTGGACATCCCAAGGGTGCTGCTGGTGCCTGGATGTTCAACGGCTGTCTTCAGGTCCTTGAAAGTGGTCTGGTTCCTGGCAACCGCAACGCTGATAACGTAGACAAGGTGATGGAGAAATTCGACTACATCGTTTACCCAAGCCGCAGCATCCAGACTGACGGTATCAATGCCTTCTCTGTCACTTCATTTGGTTTCGGACAGAAGGGTGCACAGGTTATTGGTATTCACCCCAAGTACCTCTTCGCAACCCTCGATCGGGCACAGTACCAGACCTACAAGGCCAAGGTCGAGGCGAGACAGAAGAAGGCATACCGCTTCTTCCACAATGGCCTGATCAACAACAGCATCTTCGTCGCGAAGGATAAGGCTCCTTACGAAGATGCCCAGCAGAGCAAGGTCTTCCTCAACCCTGATTACCGTGTGGCTGCCGACAAGAAGACCTCGCAACTCAAGTTTCCTGCCCAGCCCCCCAAGGCTGATGACAAAGGACTTGAGAGCACAAAGACTATGATTGAGTCGCTGGCTAAGGCTAATGCTTCTGAAGACTCGAAGGTCGGTGTGGATGTGGAGAACATCGAAAGTTTCAATATTGAAAATGAAACCTTCATTGAACGGAATTTCACCGCAAGCGAGCAAGAGTACTGCCAAAAGGCAGCGTCTCCTCGATCATCCTTTGCCGGACGGTGGAGTGCCAAGGAAGCTGTTTTCAAGGCCTTGGGTGTCAGCAGCAAGGGCGCAGGTGCCCCTCTCAAGGACATTGAGATCTCAAGTGACTCAACCGGTGCCCCCGTCGTCAATGTAAGTACTACTTTGTCATCGCCCCGCCGATAGGAAATCCCGACTAACTTGTTATCCAGCTTCACGGTGCTGCAGCTGAAGCTGCCAAGCAGGCTGGCGTCAAACAGGTCAGCGTCAGCATCAGCCACAGTGATACCCAGGCAGTCGCGGTCGCGGTCTCCAAATTTTAATGCGCTTGATGAGGAATAATGGCCTGAATTTATGTCATGTACCTTGAGTGTAATCTATCATGTCTCTTTCCTAGCCTCGTTAGACAGTATTAGATTGTCAATACACAACGTCTTTGATTCCAATGCTTGTTCAAGTGTTCACTTATCATCCTCTCTCCTCTGTGTTTGTTGCGCTGCTTGGTTCCGATAGGAGGTTCAATGTGTGGGTTGCTGACCTCACAGCGAACGCCTCAACTCTTACTCGGTTGTATTCCCACGCTTAGAAGAGCGTATTGAATCCATGATGGACAATTTCTCAAAGCTTACACGGGTAAACTTCAAAACTTTCTAAGGTACTATTAAGTAATGCAATGACAATTGAAGTGCAGTTATGGTGGATGATAGCTATCTACAACTACACTAGATAAATGCGCAATTCAATGTTCTACTTGCCTCCGGATGCTCGGCTCAGAGGACCCCAGTTCTCACGAGGATTTATCTGATACCGCACCAGTCGCTTCTTGGTCGTCTCCCTGCCCAATGCTTCATCGAATACAACCTCCAGCGTGCTAGGGTGCGGTCTGCCTGTACCATTGGGACTACGGGGAGCCTTTGTGTCCTGGGGGCCCTTCTGCGTTGTTCCCGGCTGTTCACGCTGGGGATCAGATTCCCTTCTCTTCCTTCCAAACGCTTGACGGGCACCGGAGCGATACAAGGCAGCTTCAATCTTGGTAACCATATCTTTGACATCCTTTGCCTCTTCTGTGACTGCCTGAAGCTCGGTCTTGAGAAGTGCCAGAGACGGGTCTTCCCTCTCACAGCCTTGGACATTCTCCCGGCTCTTGGACATAATGACAGCGCCGGGACTACCGGGCTTGAGGGCGCCTTCTCTGATGGGAGACTTCTGCCTCACCCATTCCCTCATTATCTCCCAGATCACCTCCCAAGGAGCATCGGTACGAATTGTGTTCGGTCTGGCGTGGCTACGGGTTGACCGGTAGCCTAGGTGTCGAATAGCCCCCCGCATGGCATCAATGGAAATCGTGGATGTATGCAAGACTTTGGATAAGGCGCTGAGACTGAAGTAGAAGGGGTATTCTTCCCGGGCGGCGGGGTCGAGCCGTGGGATAATTGCAGAATACTCGTTCACGGGGATATCCCCACCGACTGTGCCAGTAGGTGTCTGATTGGCTTCGTCACTAGGAATTTCTAGATTCAGATCTTCTTCCATTGCTGTAGTCAACATCCCCTCGATCCGGTCAATGGTGTGATACACGTCCCTATCTGCCTGGGGAAGCATATCAAGGATCCTGCGGATGAAGTGAGCATTATGAAGAGGACCAGCCCACATAGGACCGCTGAGGTGAGTCCTAGAGCCACAATGGCCACAACGACTATCTGCTACCGGACCCTGAGCGAAGCCGAAGTGGTAGAACGGATTTCCTTTCTTGTCCAACTTCTGTTTCGTCTGGGTTATGGGCTGAGTCGACCAAGCGCCACAGCCAGCATCGCAGTTGTAGACCATCATCATGTTTCCAGAGATATACTTGACTTCAGCTGGGGAGCGATGGACACGGACGAACACTCGGGCATAAAAATCGATCGATAGGGACAGAAGCGGCTCAATCGCGAGACCATATTTCGCAGCGGAGGCTGCAAGCCCGTGCAGAATGAGACGCAGGCCACCTTCGTGGCAATGCGGTCCTTTCACTGGAATTCCGCCATATAGGGCGAACGACTTCTCGGGATACCCGTACGAGGCCCAGACACCTGCATCGGTACAGGTCACACAAAGAAGGCCGCCATCCTTGACTGCCTGGACCGCAGCGTCCATGAAAGGTGCAGCAGAGCCGTAAGGGTCCAGATCAATCACGTCAAATTTTCCTAGGTGGCTCTCGACAGTTGGGGTGTTGGCTTGTTGGTTTAAGAGACTGTACATGTAAGCGCGCGCATCCCCGGTGTTAGGACGGATCTTTTCGCCGAGACTATTGTATTTAATGTTCGTCTTCATGGATTCAATTGCCGAGGGTGACAGGTCGTTTGCTACGACGCAAGAGGTGAAAGGTATCTCCGAAGCATATCGCAGGGCACGCAGACCCGTAGCCGAGAGGGCGTCTAAAATCGTAAAAGACGGCGCCGTGTCCTGCTCTGCCTGCTGTGCTGCAGTCGGATTCCCTTGGCCTTGATTCTGATCCTGCGTTTGTTCCTTGACATCGACCTCTTCTCTCTTGCGCTTCTTGCCCTTAGCTGAGTCGTTCGCCGCAGCCTTTTGCTTCCTCTTCTCGGCCTTCTGTTTCTTCAGGGCCAGCAAATGCTCCCCATATGCGCGAATGGCAAGGACACTAAGGTCCCGGTTGAACTGTTGGATAGGGTTGTAGAAGACTGATTGCGATTGCTCGTCAGCTTTGCGATCCCTTTTCGTACCGGGAGCCTGAGCCGGGGGGTTCAGAATGTACGCCAATCCTTCCTTCACTGCTCTGTACTCAGTGCCGTCATACTGTATCAATTGTTCAGCCATCTCCGCAGCCGATGAGCGGGTAGAGTAGACTCGGCGGAGTGGCGGGCGTTGGTGGAATCCTAGGGCGGTGCAGCGGGCAATTGCGCGATCGCTGCGGAGTCTGAAGTGAGTTGAGAGGGCACGATAAAGAATACCAAGGTGTGGGCGCATGGACCCGGACTTTGAAAATCGACCTGGTGGTGACTTGGCTATGGGCTAGGCAATAGATGAACAGCAAGTCCTTCGTCTCTTTTTCTGCTTGTCGGAAACTTTTTTTGACTTCCGCCCGCCAACCTTTCCGATCAGCTAAGCACGGACCAACTCACTACTATCTAACCGCATAAATGTCATAACTATAAACTCAATTCATTCCCCTCTTCACATTCTATCAGAGCTGTCATTAACATTAATTCTTGCTTCTTGCTTATTATACAATCATATCGGCCGTTACTCCCGCCCTTGAAATATTATGTGTCGAAGCACTAACCGCTAGACCAAAAATGATTTATCGCGTCTAGTCAGCCAGGCGACGGAGAGATATGTGTCCCCAAACTATGTTTGTCCGAATCAATTGGGTCAGAGCCAGGACCCAATAACGGGGACCTGGCTATAGATTTCATTCCATCCCTTGGCCTCCCAGCCATAACCTTGCCCCGTACGCCCGATGATGCCCAGGGCGCCTGCAAGCCATATGGATGCTCCCACCGCGGCAATGCCGTTGACCGTCCACCACATTTTCCTCTGTCGGCGGAGTCGTTGCTCACTTTCCGAGGCTCCCAGATAACCCTCTAGGGAGCCCTTTTTTCGGTCACGTTCTTTCCGGACCGTTGTTACTCTCCAGCCCATCCATGCAGCCCAGCCGCCGACGAAGTGCCACACCCCAACAGCGACGAATAACAGATAGTATAGATTCCAGAGTGCGGGGGCCCGTGCAAAGCCGTGGGCCACATAACCCAGCCCGACTCCTGAGCTTCCCCCATCGACCATTAACGGAGTGATGCGGTTGACGAGCACATGGGCGCCAAGTAACGGAACCAACGAATATCCCAACCGAGCTTGGAGACTCATCCGAGGCCAAAACGTCAACGAGTGTCTCTGTGACCTTGTCTCGGCACCATAGAGTCGCGCCCGCCGTGCGGAGCGAATGTTGCGCAAAGCAATTCCGGACGCAATATGAATCAGAACAGGCGCGGTCAGGACGAGATGTTCGAGGCCCGGAGATTGATAGACGGGTCTGGTGAGAAGTATGAAGCTCTCGCTATCAGGTACGGATCGAGTAGCCAGAGGGATGAGAGAGGTATTGGCCCAGTGCAATGCAAGGAATAGGGTTGGTGGATACGTCGAGTATCGTTGGAAGGCAGACACTGGAAATATTGAGGTCATTGTTAGCTCCTAGGAACAACGTATATTCTTGCCATTATCACAATAGCTTGCATATACTTAGCCATACACCAGGAATCCCAACTGTGTCCGCGAAGACCTAACTTGAGCGATGAGAACCGACCACCTCCGGCGATGGGCTCGCGTGCCGATGGCGGACTTGGTTCTCTGGGGAAGTATTCGCCAGATTCGAGGTCTGGAAACTCATCTTGGACTGGCGATGGGTCTAGTTCTTGCATTGAAAATATGGAGCGCGTTTCGATATCCTCTGGTTTGGATGGCATGCTTTCTTTCGAGGCAGCCATGGCTCAAAAAAAGCACCGGGCCACCAGGTGCTATGTTATATATGTCCGCGCCAGGAGCCAGAATTAGGGCTGGTCAACTATTACAATCAATCCGGTTGCGATGGGGTTGTCTGAATTCAGAGCATGGTCGTTTGAACAATAATTCCTCGCTGTGATTTGGGGCAGCAGATTTCCTTGGAACTTGATCTCATCGACACTTTCTTGGTAAAGAACTGCTAGGCGATGATCCTCCGTATTAGAGGCCTCATGATTGGCCCGTTATGGTCGACCTCCGTAGTCACGGTATTGCACCGGTATTGACGGTATCTAATCGAACACCAGTTCAAGCTCCTCTTCCGCGGGCGGTGGTTTTCTTTCGGCAGAAAGTATCGACCTCAACGCGCAGTCGCTGATAGATGTATGTCGCCTAACAAGTTTCGACAACCAGAGGCTCAAACCATCACCGCTCAGCGAGCAAGCAGCGAATCTGCAAACCTGTACACACGCTCTTTCACTGTCCGCGACAAAACCCTTTCCAAGTGTATCTGCGTACTCATAGAACGATGGCGCCTGCAAGTGCCCAGATTCCGAACATCTCCCCTATTGAAGTTATATATCTTCATAGCAACAAGTTCCCAAATCTTAGCTGACCAATGCGTCTACATACACAGCGAGGCTTTACCAATCCCACTCCTAAGGTGCGATTCAGGGCTTAGTTTCAAGAGCTTGAGGGATGTAAAGACCCGTGCTTCCATGCTAACTCAGGACCACCGCATCTCAAACTAGACCGAATCTGCGCGTTCCGCTCTGAGCTCCTTCACCTGCACGCTCTGCAACAAGTCTTACTCTCGCCATCCAGAATACGAGGCCCATATTTCTTCTTATGACCATCAACACCGCAAGCGTCTCCAAGACCTCAAGCAGTTATCCCGGGACCCCAATGCCGCCGAGAAGGCCAGAAGAGCCGAACGGAAGGCCGACGCCGAGGCCGGGTTAAGAGTCATCGACACACCCAAGGCTGCATCAGTATCTACTACGGGAACGGGCTCTGGAGCAGGTGGAAGTACAGGGGGCGGGGGAGGGTTTAAAAAGGGAGGGTTCAAAAGTTCCTTCACCACTGTGAAAGGACCTGTGGCTCCTGCAGCTCCCACGAAGAAAAACGTCCTAGGCGGTGACGATGATGACAACGAAATTCCAGAAGCAGATGATGCGAGTCTGCGGCGCGCTCGGAGCCAATCGACGAAACGCGAAAATATGCAGGTTGATCAGGCGGAGAGCGATACTGATGAAGAGTACGACCGGGATGGGGGTGTGAATGGGGTGTATTACAATCCTCGAAATCCTACCGGTTGTTCCCCTGCGTGTGCTGGTGCTAGGAACGTTCCTCTAGAGACTTCTTTTGTCTGAAACGAGCATCATGCGGAGCACAGTACGGATGTGGCGATCACACCGACTATGTACTGTGACGTCAAATGGCCGATCACTATCCAAGTTTCCTTCCCTAATGACTTGATGAGTCCAATACGTATGTGGATGATGCTATCCAGAAACGAGACATTGCAGGCATGGAGGTGGTTTCTCAACCGTCTCTCTCCTTAGCCCGAGGGTCGATGATCTGATAATAGCAACGGCACCGGAGGAGCAGGCCCGAATTCACCGCGGGCTCGTTTGTGGTGGCACACGCCAATAGGAACAAAACCAGATGCGATGAGAACACGCTACGGAGAATACAACCATGCCCGAGCACATTAGCTTCTAAAAATGCAGAATAACGTTGATTGTGTTGTATAGTCGTACAAAATCCAAGGAAGTAGGAGAGCGAGGTAATATGAGGGAAAAGGAGAAATGGCTGTAACAATGATAGGGTACTAGACACATGATTTTATTAATTCAGTTTTTCTTCACCGTCGGTTCATATACAACGGCTCATCCTTTACAGGCGCAACAGCTTGGCAGCCTGGCTGACGATGGTGTCCTCCTGGGGGAAGCTCATGTTCTCGAGACCAGCGGCGTAGGGGGTGGGGACCTCGGCACCAGTAACACGGACGGCGGGAGCAGTCAGGTAGTCGAAACCGTATTCCATGGAGAGAGCGAGGATCTCGGAGGAGACACCGAACATGGGGTAACCGGACTCGACGCACATGATGCGACCAGTCTTCTTGAGCGACTGGACGATAGTCTCAACGTCGAGGGGCTTGACGGAACGAAGGTTGATGACCTCAGCATCAACACCGTACTTCTGCTTCAGCTCAGCGGCAGCGTTGAGCGACTGTCCAACACAGCGGGAGAGAGTGACAATGGTCAAGTCCTTTCCGGGGCGCTCAATCTTGGCCTTGCCAATAGGAAGAACAAAGTCATCCTTCTGAGCGGCCTCGCTCATGGGGAAGGCCTGACCGTACAGCAGCCTATGCAAGAATTGTCAGACTCAAAAACATTCCACAGATACTCCGATACTTCCACGGGGCTACGTACTCGTTCTCAAGGACAACGACGGGGTTAGGGTCGCGGATGGCAGCCTTCAACAGACCCTTGGCATCCTCCGAGCTCCAGGGAGCGACAACCTTCAGACCAGGGATGCTGCCATACCAAGCAGAGTAGTCCTGGGAGTGCTGGGCGGCAACACCAGCGGCGAAACCGTTAGGTCCACGGAAAGTGATGTTGCAGGGCTGGATACCACCAGACATGTAGTGGGTCTTGGCGGCAGAGTTGATGATCTGATCGATAGCCTGCATGGCGAAGTTGAAGGTCATGAACTCGCACTAGAGATCGGACAGCAGGTCTTAGTATACTGTGCATTTTCCCTCTGATGAACGTTGAATTTCCAGAGGTAACAGCAGTCCGAGGAACTTACAATGGGGTGCAGTCCAGCAAGAGCAGCACCGACGGCGAGACCACAGAAACCGGCTTCCGTGATGGGGGTGTCAATGACCCGCTTGGGACCGAAGCGGTCCAACAGACCCCTCGTTACCTTGTAACTATAATAGTAGAGCGAGTTTAGATATGCGATCCATGGACTGCAGCCAAGTCAGACGAGGGACAGGGTGCCATACGCTCCGTTGTACTGCGCAACCTCCTCTCCAAGAATGAAAGTCTTCTTGTTGCTCTCCAGCTCCTCGGCGAGCGCCTCGTTCAGAGCATCACGGACAGTGACCTCCTTGGTGCCAGATTCCGTAGCATATCCCCGGAAGCGCAGGATTGAGGGCGCGCATGCGGTGTGAGGGCGAAGGGGGGCCGAAGTAAGGCGCGAAGAAAGCAGACGAGCTGCTGGGCGGAAAAGTCGGGGAGCAGCCATGGCCGAACTGTGAGATATATAATATAAGAAGGAAGAGGAAAAAAAAGCAAGAGTAGAGGAAAGGAGAATTACTTCACGGAAATACCGGTCTGTTGGACAATTGGTATCAAAGGAAGAAAGAACAGCCGATGGGGAGGCTCGTCACTCTTTTTCGGGGGTTCGGGGAATCTTTTTCGTCGACGAGGTTTCGGCGGAAGGTTGGTTTTTGGTGAGAAGCTTCGAAGGGACTTGTTGGGCTTAGCGCTGACTAAGCCGTGTTGCGGTTTTGCTCTTTCCTGACGGTCTCACCGGTCGCCTCCTTCCGTAGCGTCCGTTTTGTCTCTCTCTCTCGGTCTTTCCCTCTCTCCCTGGCGTCTTGTCGGGATCTTTCCCTCCGATAAGCACTTCTGGGTCCCCCCTTCCTATCTATCTGAACTATTCCGTTTATTTAGTTAGCGCCTATCCGTGATAAGCTTGGTGTCGGTGCGTAAACCATCAAGGTACTTACTCACTTATCCATCTACCACCACGGGGGTTGCATGGCTAACTGATCCGACTCTCTTTCCATCCTTCTCATAATTAGAGAGAGAGAGTTTACTTGCGTGTGTCATTCATTACATTAACTGCTCGTTGTCGGTCAACACCCCTGCTTCGTATTTAGATATTCAATCCACGATTTCTGCTATTATTCTTCTCAATATCATCCCTAAGAAAGCATGAGCATGAGCATGTTCAGCAGCTACTATATGCTCTTCTCTACATTAGTGACCTTTCTTCTATTCTTTATATCCCCCTTCGTTTATGCTGTACAACCGACTGCGCCCAAGCCCATCGAGGCTCCATTGCGTGACCTGAAATGGGGCCAGCTCAATTTCCTTCACACCACAGATACTCATGGCTGGTTAGCTGGTCATTTACAAGAGTATGGCGCTGAAGTCTTCTTCGGAGCCATTCCCAGGCCTTACTGATTTCCAATCCCTTATAGACCCTCGTACTCCGCTGACTGGGGTGACTATATCTCCTTCGCTACCCGCATGCGCGAGAAGGCAGAGTCTATGGGTGTCGATCTACTAGTCATTGATACCGGCGATAGAGTGGAAGGAAATGGACTTTACGACTCTTCAGACCCCAAAGGCATCTACATCTCTAAAATTCTGCGAGAGCAGCATATCGACCTGATGTCATCGGGCAATCATGAGCTGTATAAGGAATCCACAGCATCAGCTGAGTTCTTTACCACTGCACTCAATTTCGCCGGACACTATCTTGCATCAAACATCGACTTCTATGACCCACGGACAAACGCTTTCAGGCCATTGGCACCTCGCTTTACGAAGATCGTCACCAAGCAATTGGGCATCCGCATCGTGGCCTTTGGATTTCTCTTCGACTTCAAAGGAAATGCTAATAACACTGTTGTGCGGCCTGTGAGGGAGACAATAAAGGAGGCATGGTTTCAGGAAGCTATCAGGGACCATGAGGTGGACCTCTTCTTGGTAATCGGTCATGCCCCTGTACATTCGGAGGAGTATTGGGACATATGGCGAGAAATCAGATCTCTTCGCTGGAGTACACCCATCCAATTCTTTGGCGGCCATTACCACATCCGTGACTACGCAAAGTATGATCGGATGTCCTACGGCTTGGCCAGCGGTCGCTTCATGGAAACGATCGGTTTTATGTCCATTAGTGGCCTCCCGACCCACCGTCAGCCCGGACTGTCCGCCTTAGCGTCCTCCCTGTGGCCATGGGACCGTTTCCATTTCAATCGGAAATATATCGATAATAACTTATTGTCATTCTATCATCACACTGGCCTGAATGAGACCACGTTCCCCACGGAACATGGACAGAACGTTTCCCAACTCATTGAGGAATCCCGAAGCGCTCTCCAGCTGGACGAAGTGTACGGGTGTGCTCCTCGCGATCTGTTTATGTTTCAAGCGAAATATCCAGGTGAGGGTAATATTTATACCTGGCTGGAGACTGAAGTGCTACCCGTATCCGTGAGAGATGAATCTCGTGCTGGGAAGCCAGCCGTTGTTATAGTCAACACCGGTGCCATTCGCTTTGACATCTTTAAGGGCTCTTTTACGAAGGATAATACATATATTGTCTCCCCATTCACAAGCGGCTTTCGTTATGTGAAAGATATCCCTTACTCCCGAGCCTACCGTCTCGCCGATGTGCTAAACCGGGGACCGGGAATCATGGCTGAGGGCGACCAATTAGACAATTTGACTTGGCAGCTTGCTCCCCCTGAGCAATCAGCGTATACCCGTGGTGTATTTGGCAGCAGTGGTAGCCGATCAAGCGCTGGCTTCCTTACCAACCAAGTCCCATTCCTGAGTAGTGGAGATGCTGAGCCTGACCTAATTCCCGGATACACTACCCATGATGATGGAGGCAAAGATGGCGATGACACCATTCACTCGCCGATCGACTTCTTCCGGGTGCCGAATGTTATCAGGGGAACACCTCGTTGGGGTGCATCTGAACCCCCGGAAATAGTAGACCTGGTCTATATTGATTTCATCGAGTCTAACGTGGCTGCAGTGGCCCCATACGCTGGTATTGGTGCAGATTTTTCTCGCGACAGCGACGTCTATATGCCAAATACAACATTGACCGGCTTGATAGAGGACTGGATAAAAGGAAACTGGCCCTGCGAGCAGGTATGAGCGTTCACCGTGAATCGCCTTTCAGTTGGTGGCTGGCGTATACATGCAAATTGTGCAATGACGGCCAATTTCCTTAAATGTGTTCTTACTCCCAGCGCACAAGCAATGAAACTAGCTAGGTTTTAGATAAAGAATACTAGTGGGTAAATGGGTCTTCCCACTTGACTGGTAGAAATAGCTATGGATAAATTGTACTAGCTATCCATCAACCGAAGTCGGTCGACAGCCAAGGAAGCGTACTGTACAGATTCATATTTATCGGAACACTCGAGTTAGAAGATTAGCTTTTAGCTAGTTCATTCCTGTTCCTCGTACCTGAGCAAGCCCTTGCCGCTGCGGTAACCGCTGAGGGTTTCCTGCACGCCTGCTACAAGCTCGGAGCCCTCGGTGTCCCATTTCCATTTGAACTCCTCAACGGGAATATCCTTAAACCTACCAGCCCGTGTCAGCTGCAGTACATCATTGATGGTGTTTTCCTTCAGCTGCGGATTCTTGTCGCCCCATTTGCTAACCCAGAAGCCATCGAAAACGAGGTTCTTGAAGATCAACAATCCCGACGGCAGAGAAACTGGCTGCTTCGACATGGCCCCGTAGGTGACCAGATGCGAACCTGGTGCGAGTGTTTTTGCCAGTGCGGTGGCACTCTTTCCACCCACACAGTTCAAAGCGAGGCGGATGGGCTCCTTCCCCTTGCGCGTGAGCTCATGTACAACGTTCCTAAATTCGCCTGAAAGCAACTCGGCCTCTGTGACTACCGCAGTCGCACCGAGATCTGTGAGTTCTTTCTTCAGAGCTTCTGTCTCCTCTGGAGTCTTCCGTTCCCGGACGACATTGAGGGTCTTGATACCCCACTCTCGTGCAAGCTGAATAGCAGCGCGTCCAACACCACTGTTTGCCCCGTTCTGGATCAACCAGTGCTCTCCGGCACGCATCCAGTCCCAGTCGCAAAAATCTTTGATCATGCGGTAAGCTGTTACTGGGTTGACACTAACCGTACTGATCTGAAGTGGGGTCAAGCCGTCCTTGTTTTCAATCTTAATCAGCTGCGATTCATCCAGCTGAGCATGAGTGCGCCAGGTGCCCTGTCCAGTCTGTTTCATGACAACCCAGTCACCCTTGCTGAGGTTTTTCACTCCAGAGCCGGTGGACAAAACCTCGAATGCGCCCTCATTTCCAGCGACAGCGGCCGGCTCCTGCGTACCGAGTGTTGATTGGAACGGTGGCTTGCTCGGGTATACACCCTGGATCTGATTCACGTCGGCAGGATTCAGCGGCGCAGCGAGCAGGCGGAGATTCACTTGAGTACCATGGGGCGCGGAGATGGAGTGCTTGTGAAGCCTGGATGACTGTCAGATACCTTGTCCCATTGTGCAATAGCCGGGCCGCTGAAATGTAGGATCCGACGCGGTGCGAGGACTTACTGCAGGACGTCCTTGGGCTCTCCGTAGCGCGAGTAGATGAGAGCCTTCGATTGCGTATACCCGTAGACCGAAATCCATCTTTTATCCCCAATCTGAGTATGAGGATATGCTCCTTGCAATTGGCGCTTGCTCACTGAGGCTAATTGCGATGCAGCTCCAATTCTGATGGAGCACGCAGCGTGGCTTCCGGAAGCCCTCACCGCGGACCGAATCATAACCCCAGACATCATTGTAACCACAGTATACTGGTATAGTCAGATTAGTCTGGTGAGATGAGAGAGAGGATGAAGTCTCCACGACGATGCGGTCGCGAGGAAATTCCTGATGACGTCGTCCCTGCAGCCCTCGGGCCGACGGAGATGAAGACGCCGATTCGGGTATTTATCTTGGCCCTCTGGATTGACAGAGGAGGATGAGTTCTATCCTTGGATATTTACAGACAATCATAAACACAGATGCAAGAGACATTGCTACCAAGACTAACCCATGTCATTCCTGAGAGTGCGGCAGTGAGTTTGGTCCTTGTTTACTACGTCAAGTCCCTACTCAGCAGGAGCTGGAGCTTCGAGAAGCTCTCGATTACCGGTATGGTACCGTACAGTATGATACCCTGGAGAGAAAGCACTCACCGCCCTGTCTCGTTCACCGCCCGCGGGGATGTCCGCCGCATACAATCAATCGATCAATGAATCGATCGGTTTTCTAGAAAGCTTCCATTGTCTGGGTGGTACCCTTTTTGTATAGAGCTACACACCTCAATGTCGCTCTTGCGCGAAGCCGAGAAGTGCTTGGCTAACCAGGGCTCTCATGCGGCTCTAAATGCGCTAATCACCACTCTACATCAGTCAGGGCAATGGTTGGAACGTGTGAGAGATGCGGATGCGCGGCGCACCCGGGGTGAGTATGAAGGCTGCATTGCAACCAATCCTCGCTTTCTTCAGAGCTAACAAACTCGCTTCGCCAACTAGGGACGCCCAAGTCCGAGGTAGATGGCCTGTTGGTCGCCGTCAAGGACAACATATGCACACGCGATCTTCCAACAACATGCGCTTCAAACGCTCTGGATAAATTCGTCAGTCCGTTTAACGCGACAGTTGTTCAACAGTTGGAAGACGCAGGTGCCGTCGTGGCCGGCAAAGCCAATCTCGACGAATTTGGAATGGGATCCCACTCTATACATTCGAACTTTGGTCCTGTCAAAAGCTCGCGCCGTGACCTGCATGCCGAGTATCTCTCGGCCGGTGGTAGTTCGGGTGGAAGTGCGGTTGCTGTTGCGACAGCCCAATGTTATGCGTATGTAACTCTCCAGATCCGCCTTGAATCATAGGGCTAGGAACGGCTTGGCTTAACATTGCTGCAATATTTATAGAGCGTTGGGTACTGATACAGGCGGCTCCGTGCGATTGCCCGCCGCATATACGGGAACAGTCGGCTTCAAGCCTTCTTATGGGCTAGTCTCTCGCTGGGGAGTGGTTGCGTATGCCAACTCACTAGATACGGTCGGAATACTGGGAAGAGACGTGGCCAGCGTTCGCCGTGTCTTCGGTATGTCTTGACTTTGTCGGATTCCTCCTGTCTCGCTGCGTCTCGATTTGCTAACCCGTGCTCGCAACATAGGCGTGGTAAACCAGCATGATTCACGCGACCCCACTAACCTTTCTCCCTCCAGTCGGTCGCGGCTAGATTCACATCTAAGGATGCCTGCCTTGGCGTCTCGGACAAACTATCCCCTCAGGATAGGAGTTCCAGTCGAGTACAACATATCAGAGTTGTCTCCATCTGCGCGACATGCGTGGTCTCGCTCGCTGGCCCATTTGCAGCGACAGGGCCACAGCATCCAAATGGTCTCCCTTCCAACGACTAAACTCGCGTTGTCGGCATACTATGTACTCGCGCCTGCTGAGGCATCCTCAAACCTGGCCAAGTATGATGGCGTCAGGTACGGGAGCCGCCCTGAAGCACCAGATGGGAATGCATCGTCAGAAAGTTATCTATATGCGAAAACACGAGGTGAAGGTTTCGGCTCCGAAGTCAAAAGACGGATCCTGCTCGGGGCATTTAGCCTAAGCGCTGATGCTATGGATAACTACTTTATTCAAGCACAGCGGGTTCGCCGCCTTGTTCAACATGATTTCAACACCGCATTCAGGGCATGCCAACCCCTGATTTCTTCGCGACTGGGATCAAAGTCGGATTCTGCAGACGCTGGTGTAGACGTTCTCATTTGCCCAACAGCGCCGTCATCACCACCACGCATATCAAGCCTTACCGGACCCGATGCGACAGCTTCGCCCTTGGAGGCATATACAAATGATGTTTTTACTGTGCCTGCTAGTCTGGCAGGCCTTCCGGCCATATCTGTACCGGTCACTACAGAAAGCGCTGGTGATACCGAGGATGGAGATTTGGCTGGAATCCAGGTTATTGGTCAGTACGGTGATGATGAGCTTGTGTTAAAGGTTGCCGAGATGCTCGAGGGCAGGCACCTATGAAAAACTTTTGTCTCCTTAAATGCGAATACCCCAGACTCCATTCATAGACGTCTATATGTATACAAATTAAAATGTATAAACTAGAGAAATTCTGCGCCAGTAACTCCCAAGAGGTGTTGCTGTTAGTTTGTATAAAACCTTGCAAACTGAGATGTGCTCGGGATTCGGAGCGCAAAGAAAAGGAAACTATTGCAGACTAGTATATTATGTATACTTGTACAGAGTTCGAAATCGTGATATAATTCTACCAGCCCCGTAACGTGCCCTCGTCACGTGTCGGTCATTCCAACACCGACTTCCCTAAGGCAAGGCCAGTGTAGTAGACTGGGTTAGGGATGCTAGACGTAATCCCGTAACCAGTGGCCGAAGGTGTTGACGGTATGGCGTTCAAGACATCTCAACATCTCCATCTCCAGTTGACACGTCGGGTATTGTAGTCTGAGGTGCTTCTGGGACCGGGGCATCGGCGCTCGTGGTGTCTTCAAGCGTGGTCTGGCCTGGATCTAGGTCCATGACACTCCCAGCTTCGTTGCCATTGCCAGCGGGATTAGCAGCAGTTTCACTTTGACCGTCGGCAACTGGAGGAATAGCGGACTCATAAGCCGCACTGACACCACCTTTCAACACCTCGGAGCCACCAACTGCCCCAGTTCCAGAGCCGTCGAGCTCTGCGTTATTGACAACGTTGCCGTCTACTCCGCCCCAGACGCACATCGCCTCAACCTCGTCCACGATATCTGCAACTATGTCCTCAACTATTTGCTCATTGAATCGTTCGCCAATTCCCCGAATTGGCTCGCCGTTGTCTGTATGAGATGGCGGGCCCACCCACCATGGCCCGTCGAAGCGGCATTCAACCGCGCCTCCGCCGTAGCAGCTGACAGCGGGGTAATAACCGATCATTCCATCATCTGCGTTCTCGCGCTCACCGATGCCCAAGTTATTCGTGCCATTGGCAAGTCGGCTGGCCGGTGGTAAGAAAGCATACAGTTCTTCGAATGGAGTGCCCATCTTTACACCGTTCTTGTATATTGTGATGCTTGAACCGGGTAGAGTTCGCAAGGATGCATCCTCAGCATTGAACGGAGATGGAGGCCCAAACGTAGGTGTTTCTTTGAGATTAAATGCGTAATCGCGTAGCTGTTTTGTTGGGAACACGTTCGATTGTTGCCAACAAAAGTCTGATTTGTAGTGGAAAGGAATGCGGTCACGGACTATATTCGTGACTGACGGGGCTTCTGTGCTCGGTGTTGAAACCTCGCCATCCGCACCTGACTCATAAGTTCCTTCTACAACTTTCTTGTGAAGAGAGAGTGGCGGGAGGGTGATTAGTAAACCGATAACATCTCCCTCACGAATGGATTCGCCTTTTGGAAAGAAGTACTCGCACCGCATCCGATTGACAACCTCGCCATTCACATCACGAATACCGTATCCATAACAGTCGACGCCTACGTTGGCATCGAGGTCTGCCTCCCTTCGTGCGAAACCGAGACGTACATGTCCCCTGGACGGTAAATTTCCATTGCTATTTGAAGATGGAGCCGATGAATTATTCATAACACCACTGACGATGCGCGCTTCGTAGTAATAAGATCCCTCGCGCGCGCAGACATTGGCGCGTGCAGTATGCCAAGGCTCGTTAGAAGTAACTGCGAGAGCGTCTTTACTGAAAAGTATGGCAGCTGGAGAGTCTTCGAAGCTGAAGCGGGCGTGGTAAGGCTGAACATCAGTCTGGCGGTATTTGATATGCGGAAAGCTGGGGTCGGCTATGGCGTAGCTATAACGAAAACCATTCTTGTTGGTGAGCTTATCGACGATCTCAAAGAAGTCCCAGCTTTGACCGATAACGTCTGATGTTTTTCGGTTGACAAAATTCAGCTGCCGGGGTTGTGGGGGTAACAGATCGGATGAGCGAGGCTCTGCCAGCAAAAGAGGCCTTAGTATGCTGAGATCTGAGCTGGGAAGTGCAGTGTTTTGGACAGCAACTGCTCGCTTCTTCGGTGGCATGCTTTCCTGGTCCAGACCCTTGGCCTCACGCTTTTTGCGGCTGTCACGTTTGGTACGCTTTGACTTCAATCCATCGGCTTGTGCAGGGGCATTGCTAGCAGGTATAGGAGAAGATCTCGCATTAGAATCAGGTAAGGAACCGGCGAAAAATGGTGTTCCTCCAGGAGGCAAGATCGGAGAGTTCAAGTTAGACGAAGGTGCAGAAGACCCAGCCGGTTGTGTGGAAGCCATTGTTGATCGACTCAAAAACTGCAATGTTGAGTGCGAGAATTCATAGGCCCGGGGCAATATCAGATAGGATAGACGTCAGTGTGGAATACTTGTTGATGGGAACCCAACAGTCCGGTGTAGGTTGCGCATATGACTCGGTATCGGCAACGACAGGGAAAAGCCAGTCAGATATACTGTTACCACAGCTTTGTCGAATTAAATGTACAGGTCTCGGAGGGGGGCGACTCTATCAAGAGTGACCAGAAGCCTCGATAGGCGATGAGCGGAGGTGATGTTACAGTTTCCAGGATAACCCGGGGTCGCAATAACGCCTGTGGAAAAAGTAGCAGAAGGTCAGAATTACATATGAACCAGTGTGAATCCAGAGCTGTCTTTGTATTCTCATTGTGGGTGTTAGAGCTGAGCCTCCAAGGGATATTGAAGGTACCATATGTACCATGCCCTGAACACCATATAGGAAGTTGAAGATGAGGAACGCGGAAGTGGGTTCGGAGTGCCCTGGGACTTACCACAAGGGCTGCTGGTCGACACGACTTAGATTAGCCAGTTGTAGTTATGAAATAGACCGCAGACAGTCTATTAGGCAGTCGTATAAGGTCAAATAGTGGTTGATTGAACTCTTCTTGCAAGCTTCAAGGCCCGTCCTGCATCACATGCCTGTTGTTTATGCGCAAGTTGCATGCGACGAGCGGAAAGCAATCTTGTCGCCGATTAAAGGCGGTGAGCTACAGTACTGCCGGCAGGTGTCGAGGGCCAAGTGGTGCCTCGAGATAAGAGGGGTAAAGGCGGTATAAGATATCATCCAATAAGAAATAGCGTACATAAAGCGGTGAGGACTGACTCCGCTTTGGCGACGCCAAAAAAAAGAGCTCGACAAAAAATTTGAATCACATGACCTGGAAATTTACACACATTTTCTTGGAGGTTGATACCCGAGAGAGAGACGATCCACGTTCGCAGTGCCTATTATCCGGTGATTAGGTGGATTCGGTGCTAGCTGGAGCCTTTTGATATCATATAAACCTCGGCTTCTAATACACACATCCAAAGGGGCACCGTCACCATGCCCAAGGCAACATCCTCTCGCTCCGCCGCCGGCCGCCGGCACAATCCTCTAGCTGAGGATTATATGACTGCTGGTCATCTGAGAACTCAATCGGCCAAAAAGTCCAGTCGCAAGTCTCGTGAGGGAGACGAACAAGAAGATGGGGAGCGCTTCGTTGATGCGAAGATGTCTCGGAAGATCCTGCAAATCGGACAGGAACTGGCTGATGAGGATGCTGAAGAACAAAGAGCCACAGCAGGCGCTGCTGCTGATATGACGAACGCAGCCTTTGATTTTGAGTCTCGCCTGGAAGGCGATGAGGCCTTTTCCGATGACGAAAAATTCCAAGACGACCAATGGGACGACGAAGAGGAAATTGAGGAAGTTGTATGTCACTGGAATCTCTCTCTTCAAAAATCTCTGGGAACCCTTTTGCTGATATATCGATTAGGAGGTCGACCCCGATGATCTTGATATGTTCAACAAGTTCATTCCTGCAGGCGACGAAGACCCGATATTCAACCCCAGTGGACCCGAAGCCGAAGGTCAGACTAGGAACCTAGCCGATCTTATTCTGGAGAAGATCGCGGAACATGAAGCGAAGCAGGGCGGAGAGAGCGGCGGGCCCTTCATTCAGGGTGGTGGATTACCGGAGGATGCTGTTCAAATACCCGCGAAAGCGGTGGAGGTATATGAGAAGTGAGTACGGATTGCGCCGTGTTGCCGTTCACGCAAGGCTAATCGAAAATCAAAGGGTCGGCATGATACTTTCTCGCTACAAATCTGGACCTCTTCCGAAGCCCTTCAAGATCCTTCCTTCCGTGCCCAACTGGCCCACCCTTCTCGATATTACACGACCTGAGTCTTGGACGGCCAATGCTGTCTATGCCGGTACCAGAATCTTCATTTCGTCGAAGCCAGCAGTCGCACAGGAGTTCATCGCCACAGTGCTCCTTGACCGTGTCCGGGAGGAAATCCATGAGACCAAGAAGCTCAATGTCCACACCTACAATGCGTTGAAGAAAGCGCTATACAAGCCCGCCTGTTTCTTCAAGGGCCTACTCTTCCCCTTGGTGTCGAGCGGAACCTGCACACTACGAGAAGCCCACATTGTCTCTTCTGTCATTGCACGTGTCTCTATCCCGGTCTTGCACTCAGCTGCAGCATTACTCCGCATGTGTGATCTCGCTGCTGAACAGTCGTTGCGCTCTTTGGAAAGTACCGGTGCAGTGAACATGTTCATTCGCGTTTTCCTGGAGAAGAAGTATGCGCTTCCCTACAAGGTGATTGACGCCCTCGTTTTCCATTTCCTGCGCTTCCGTGCTACCGACAATGATGCCATGATGACCGATGGATCCCGTGAAGCCAACAAGGTTTACAAGCTTCCTGTCCTTTGGCACCAGTCTCTGCTGGTGTTTGCGCAACGCTACCGCAATGATATCACCGAGGATCAGCGTGAGGCGCTTTTGGATTTGCTTTTGGTCCGTGGACACAAGGATATCGGACCCGAGGTCAGGCGGGAACTGCTGGCAGGTAGAGGAAGAGGTGTGGTTGCACCAGACCCGGAAAACCAAGGTGCTATTGATGCCGGTGATGATACGATGGATGTCACGTTATAGACGAAATGCTGCGGGACCGCGTTAGGAGTGTAAACTGGGAGGCGAGACGAGGTGCCCCCCCGGTGACTTCGAAAAATTTGCATCTTGCTATGATTCAATCACGAGTCGTGACCGGCATGGGCGTTATTTTTGGGCTATTGAATTGTTACATCCATTTCTTTTGTTTCTTAGGCATATATTATTCCCACGGTTACACATGAGTTTGGCAGCTAGGTGCTTTCACTTGAGCACAGTAAAAGGTAGATAAGAACCAACCCATTGGCTAGAAAACGAGGGGGTGAACACATCTAGTTGTCACGTACAGCATTGTTTTCATAAGCGCATGCCACCATTCATACATCACTCCTACGTTCCGACGGAGTGCAACAAAGCGCGAAGGGGGCGGCCCCAAACCTGACAGGGCTGTAGGATTTCTAGAAGCGTTATTAATTAAGTACGGGATGCTTTTTGCTCCCTCTCCCCCCACTCCCCCTGTCTCTTGATAAGTGTCTATATTGCGTCGGAGCTAAGATCAATCTAACGGCGAAGGAAGACCGTCGGACTTAATTATTTAGATATCAGACCATGACCCGAATAGTACTGTGTATGCGCATTGCGCAATAATTACTCCGTCGAGGGTGACCCCCGTGTTTCTGGTACATTCCACCCGCTAACCTAGTCGGTCAAGGAATGCGGGAAATTGAATAACAAGTTCCAGACCCCAAAGATACTGGTGCTCCAATGAATATTCCCTGCCACGCCCACAACATTGGAAGCCCCCTTCTGGCCCCATCTTTCACACCCTCCGTCTCTAAGAATGGCGCCACGGTGGATCAAGTTCCACGGATTCACTTTGTCTTATCACCAATGAACTGCGCCAACCACGTTCTCTGCCCCCTGGAGACTCTTCAACCTAGCCCTGGATGCCACACTCAAAAGGGGTGCACAATAAGAGTCCAGACGCGTTCACACTTCACACATGAATGGTAATTAAATGATAACATCAATGGAAAATAAAGCCTCCCCAATCGAAAAACAGTTGCAATTATACACTGCACATAAAAGAGCGAAAGCAGAGGCTGTACGCAATGCGGAATATAACTACAGTACTATCTACTAAAGATTGCGGATTTAATTACCAGACGAAGTAAGACATCGGCGGGGGTCGCGTTCAAATAGAGGCAGTGCGAGAGATAAAAATGGCACAGGCATCATCGGAAGAATAATTACCGTGGGGAATTGGGCTAGAACAAAGTGGAATGGAGTAAAGTCCGTCAATCATCTATCTAGTATTTAACTCTACGTACCTATCTCCAAGGTATCTACGGAGTATGATCCGCAAGATTGCGAGTTGAGACCACAAGAGGGGCGCAGGGAGCCACTGGGGGAGGGTTCCACCTTGAGAGCGAGACTTGTCGCAGGTAAAGAGGCCTTTGAGACGGAAGGTGTGAAAGATGGGGCCAGAAGGGGGCTTCCAATGTTGTGGCAGGGGGAAACACACTGGGGGGTCTCTCTCTCCCTTCGCAGTCCCTCCCCTCCCAAGCATTTGGCTTACAGAACGTACTGTGTAAAGTTACGGGGAACCATGGTGCCTGGGGTATTTACCGTACGGTCATTTGGGGCGCAAAGGGGCACATTCACCCAACCGGACATTGCACAGGGGCGTAATGGGTCTGTAACGGTTACCGGAACTTGGCTGACGACGATGACTCCGCCCCCTTACTTGCAGGGAGGCGGCCTGATCTGACCACGTTGGCCTTTTAAAGAGTCGCTCACTCCCCCAGCTCTCACAGTCGATCAGGAAATCGTCCTCACTCTCATCCTTTTATTCTTTCTTGGTTATTGAGGACACCTGTCCTTCTTGGCCCCATCCCTCTTGTTGTCTGGTACACTTGACCCCAGGCACCACTTGGCCAGGCCTGGCCCCCCCAGCTTCCCCCGTTATGACACCGTGGCCTGTGTTCCTGTGACACGGGCAAGCAGACCTCCACAACAAGCTGTGTCGACCTACATCACCGTCCTCCCTTGCAGTGCGGTTTAAGATAAGGCTCATAGTAATCTGATTGATCCACAATCAAAGATCAATCACCCGTCACGCTTGCAATAATGGAAGAAGCATTCTCTCCAGTCGACTCCCTCGCCGGCTCCCCGACGCCTGAGTTGCCATTGCTGACAGTGTCCCCGGCGGACACGTCGCTTGATGACTCGTCGATGCAGTCTGGGGAGACCAAAGCGGAAGAGAAGAAGCCTGTGAAGAAGAGAAAGTCATGGGGCCAGGAATTGCCTGTCCCGAAGACTAACTTGCCTCCGAGGTAAGACATTCATATCCATATACATCTATATCTATTCACATGATGCTAATTCGAAATCAAGAAAACGGGCCAAGACTGAAGATGAGAAAGAGCAACGTCGTATCGAGCGCGTCCTTCGTAATCGTGCGGCAGCACAAACATCACGCGAGCGCAAGAGGCTCGAAATGGAGAAGTTGGAGAATGAGAAGATTCAGATGGAACAGCAAAACCAGTTCCTTCTGCAACGACTATCCCAGATGGAAGCCGAGAACAATCGCTTGAACCAACAAGTCGCTCAACTATCGGCTGAGGTCCGGGGCTCCCGCGGCAACACTCCCAAGCCCGGCTCCCCTGTCTCCGCTTCTCCTACTCTCACCCCCACCCTGTTCAAACAAGAGCGCGACGAAATCCCTCTTGAACGGATTCCTTTCCCCACACCCTCTATCACCGACTACTCCCCTACCTTGAGGCCTTCCACTCTGGCTGAGTCCTCCGACGTGACACAACATCCTGCAGCGGTGTTGTGCGACCTGCAGTGTCCGTCGCTGGACTCGAAGGAGAAGGAAGTGCCCTCTCTCTCTTTGACGTCGGCTCAAACCCTGAACCTCACGCTGCCGATGATCTTGCAGCTCCTCTTTCTGACGATGACTTCCACCGCCTATTCAACGTTGATTCACCCGTTGGGTCAGATTCTTCAGTCCTTGAAGACGGGTTCGCCTTTGACGTTCTCGACGGAGGAGATCTATCAGCATTTCCATTTGATTCTATGGTTGATTTCGACCCCGAATCTGTTGGCTTCGAAGGCATCGAGCCGCCCCACGGTCTTCCGGATGAGACTTCTCGCCAGACTTCTAGCGTGCAACCCAGCCTTGGCGCGTCCACTTCGCGATGCGACGGGCAGGGCATTGCAGCTGGCTGTTAGCGAGCAGTTTCGCCAGGGAGATGCATCGGCTATCGATGGTAACGGAGTCCAATGGAGCTGGGAGTCGTTGTTGACCTTGGCGTGGACGATAGACCTACTCGAAAAGCCGGGACGACGCAAACGAATCTTGAGCGGTTTGAAATCAGCGAAAACTGGACGGCGAAGTAATATTGGCAAGTCTCAAAGGAGTACACGGAGTTCATGGAGTTCACGAAGCACCCAAGAGGCGTTGACGTCTCTCCTGATGGGCAAGCATAGTTGAGGTTCCGGCTGTAAATTATCATAAATTCTTATAATTCTATTTTAGATTTTCAATCCAGCAGTTAATGGTCTGCTCATCATTTCTCTTTCGCTTTTTTTAACCGACAGGTGACCAGGAAAATCAGTTTCTGAGCCCGTTAGATTTGCAATTAGCTGGGCACTATACATAGTCTTGTAGCTACCACATCAATTCTTTAGGCATCAGCGGTACTACTTCATTCCCATTATTGTCAATCGGAGTCGGCATGCAGGTTGTAGTGGCACCTGCGCGCGCAGCGGATACGGCGATCGGGATGACGTTGCCACGCAGTCCCCCGCCCTCCCATCTAGACTGACTGTCTGTCCATCGGGGCTGAATGTTGCCTCCCGCTCCCTATCTTTTGACCCCAAACTTCCTATCTCTTCCATGCGCCCAAGCCTCACTTTTTGCCTAGATACCCTTCTTGTACCCACTCTATTTTTCGTCACCTGTTCCTTTCAGTCCTAGAACAAAATGGTTCGGAAGGATCCTATCTTTGAAGCCCGCACCAATGTCAAGGTAGGCGGTTCCCCATTATTCCCCTCTCTGCGGCAACATTTCAGCGTTTGCCCGCTTATCAACGCTCCCTTGTCTGAATAATTGTCAGTTGGCTGATTTTATTATTGTCCATCTTTTAGCTACACTCTAATCGACTGAAAAAGGAGGCCGCCCGTGCGGAAGCGACCTTTAAATCCGAGAAAGCTAAGGCTGACAAGGCCATGAAAAACCGCGAATTTCAGATCGCCCGCATCCATGCCGCTTCTGCCGTACGAGAAAAACGCAGACAGGTGACCCTCAAGGCGGAGGCTGCCAGAGCAGATGTCATTATCAACGAGCTCAAGGCTGCGCAGAGCACTCGGGACACGTCTCGGACGCTTGCATTGGCATCACGGGGCCTGGATGCTGCCTCCAAGAGTGTAAACCTTGAGAGCTTGGTTTCCCATGCGAACAATTTCCTGGCGCGCTCCGAAGATTTCAAGATTGCTAGCAGTGCGATCGAAGATGTTGCGCAAGGGATCTCTATGCAGGAGAATGGCGCAGAGGGTGAAGCCGATGTGGATCGCCTGATGGAGCAACTTGCTGATGACGCTGGGGTGGACCTCCGGATGGCTTTGGAGCAGGATGCTGCTGCTGCTCCTAAGGAGGAGGTTAAGGCTCCGAAACAAGTTGACACTGAAGTTGAGGATGGCTTGGATGCTAGGCTACGAGCTCTCAGGGCGACCAACTGAATTTCAACTACTTCGTTTCCATCGTCCTCTACTGCCACGTTAACTTTGGCCTTGTACTTGTTGATATGCTTTCGGATTCGGCGAACTATTGGGGTAACTAACAGCGCGTTGGGTATTTTTAGGGTTGAGGTTCAGTTACTCTTGAGAGTATATTGTTCTGTGGGCGCTCATGACTATATGGTCCATCATCATGCTATGCTTTACATGCTTTGTGGGTTCTTGCAATCTCTTTCGTTACATACCCGTGAAAATCGCACTTGCTGCATACGTTCATTGTCTTGCCATGCATTTGAAGGATTTCTAAATGGTCGGTCTTATAAGAGAGACGCACATTTCCTCTGCACAGATACTGTTCGAGTGGTATAGATACCTTTCCTCATATTGTCATTTTCGGTCCCTTCTTGAATTGGTACGTTTCTTCCATACACGTGCTCTATTTTCTGTCCATGGACAATTATGGAGCATTGTTACAAGGAGAATATGTCTTTTATCCATACGCTCATCGTGGGGTACCATCGTCTTTTCAAGACAAGTATTTCAAGGAGCAGTGACATGGTCAGTTTGTAGGAATATGGCCGCTAGTTAACAATACATATAAATAGGGTGTATAGAGGAATTTCTCAGTAGGCGCAGCATTATACTTCCATTACCCCTTCACGGCTGTCGTAGACTCATAAATTCTAAATAAACACCGGTATTTAACGAGCAAGCCCGGCTAGCTCAATCGGTAGAGCGTGAGACTCTTAATCTCAAGGCTGCGGGTTCGAGCCCCGCGTTGGGCTGTTCAACTTCCTCTTTCCCTTTGCCCGGCTAGCTCAATCGGTAGAGCGTGAGACTCTTAATCTCAAGGCTGCGGGTTCGAGCCCCGCGTTGGGCTTTCCTTTTTTTCCCATCCCAAAAAGTATTTTTGTTAACCACCCGGCTAACATGACTTGTCCTTCATTTTTCTTCTTTTACCCGTCTTTTGCTATGCTTGTACTTTGTGGTCCCAATTCAATCGACCTCTCGTAGGCCTTCTTACAGTTCTAGCATAGCTGAAACACTTTTCCAAAGCCACAGCCGTTTCCTTCCGGATGTTGTTCCGCCGCTGTCTGTGAATGCCGCGTAAAATATGTTTCCGTGATCGTCATTTATCAGCCACTGAGTCACTTTTGATCCGGGCCGTGTCATCTTCATGAGCCGGTAGTATGTTTCCAAGACCCAGCCACGAACGTTGGGATAGCGAAAAGGCTATACCCCATAACCACAAAGCTGCTTGAGTTAACCCTTGTAACAGGCGATGGATAGCTCCGCTGCGTTGGATCCCAGCAAAGCATCTCATGGTCGACAAGCCGCCTGCTTGAATTGTAGGAAAAGCAAGGTCCGGTGCAATCGAGGCCAGGATGATGCGTCGTGTAGTAGATGCAAACAGGCCAATGTTGAATGCATCATCCCCAGTCACCATGTCGGTAGACAGAAAGGGGTCAAAAAGTACGCGCTAAACGCATTGATCTTTCAAGGACCCCCAAGCTGACATGATGAAAATTAGCAAACGCAAAGGCCTTGAAAAAGCATTACATCAGATTGAACAGGCCATAAAAAGACCGAGGAGTGATGCGTCAGGGTCTGAGGCGGCCCAGAAGCTCATATCTGACCTTCAAGAGATGCTCAGCAATACACGCGAACAGCAGTTACATAGCGAGGCAGACGACCAGTCGGAAGATTTTGACCGGTCCTATACGTACCATTCGCCCCGGGATAATATCGACGATAATCTGTCTCTAGATGATGCAGAGAATCCTTTGCAACTACTCGCACGTGCATCTGATCTACAGCTATCGCCGACCGAGGTGCGTGGTGCACACAAATGGCCACCTTCAACAATTCAAGCACCAGGCATGCTGCAGAACAGCACCGAAGGAAGCGACCCTGCCGCGCAATCATATTTTGTTCCTATCAGGGCAAGTCTAGATGTTGGCCCGGATATAGACCCCATCGACATCGGTCTTGTAACTCCGAGCGAAGCTGAATCGCTCTTCTCTTTGTATGCCCAGGCTGCGTTGACTAAATTTGTGCCTTCATAGCTTACTTACCATTGATGCCAGCTTTTATCAGAATCTCGCACATACTCGATGGGGCCTTGATCCCCTGGTCCATACTGTCTCGTTTGTGCGGACCCAATCCGCATTTCTATTCACCTCTATCATGGCCGCAGCTGCATTGTTCTTGCCATCTGCTACAGCACTGTCGAAGCGGCTATCTAGACACTGCAAGACACTGGCCCAGAATGTCATTGTTCGACGCCACAGATCTGTTGAGATCGTCCTAGCCTTCATGGTAAATGTTCCATGGATGGAGCCAGGTAGTTGCTTAGGAGATGACGATACATGTTCCTACATTGCCATGGCTCTAGCTGTTGCTTTGGATCTTTCGTTGAACAAGATTGTGCTTCCATCATCTAGCTTTGAGCCGAGTCTACTTAGGAGACTCGCCAAGGCCGAGACTATCGATGCAAAGAGAGCTCTATACATGGACCGATTTGATGGCGTAGAACCGACATCTGCATGGGGCCGAAGACTTCTTCGAAGGCGTGAGAGAACTTGGATAGCGCTGTTTGTTCTCGAAAGAGGGTAAGCATTTCACCAGAAGCTCTGCTATTATACCTGTGAGGCACTACTACCACATCAGCCAGGTTCCTCCATACCACACTTCCCTCATGGCACACCCTGCTGCCTACTTCGAAGGGTAATGCTTTCTGCTTATAATGTTTTTCTCTTAGTACAGGCAGAGGCCCTTCCATCTTCCTGCTAGAGATATTTACCTATCTGAAGTATGAAATACTGCCTCGGGCTTGAAATTAACCAAAACTACAGATAATAGAGCCTCTGCCCGTACTAAGAGAAAAACATTATAAGCAGAAAGTCTTACCCTTCTTCAAGATGGGCGGCAGGTTATGACATGCGTGAAGTGTGATGTAGAGGAGTCTGGCTGGAATGGCGGTAGCGTCTTCCTTATACATAGGTGTAGCACCCGTCTAACCTTTGGTTTGCAGTGTATGTTTAGCTCGCGGACGAAGCTATACAGTTCCTTCGACAGCCCTTATAAACCATTGCGATAAGTGGCATGTGTCCGATTTTGCAGACTCGCGCGATGGCCCGATGAATTCCATGGCTGTCCTCAGACGGAACCTGGTAAGTACACTAGCGGTCTCATGCGTACGAAAGGACCTTTCTGACCGGAGCGAATAGGATGGTCTCTTCCTGAGAGTAAAAGCCAATTGCGATAGCCACCAGGCCACAGATGCCGGGTCTGAGGTAGCGCAATCGTACGTGTTCATCCCACAAGTTGTGGACACGCGAATAACTCACGGTGTTCCCAGGATCAAGAATATGATTGAAAGCTTCTACGACCAGTGGTATGAGATATGGGCACCTGAGATAGGGGAAGGTCACTGTAAGTCCCTCGTAGGGGTGTGGCAGGCTCGCATCAACCCATTGTACAAACGGCTAATCTACATCAAGCACGCTCCCTTCCACCCTATGTGGAGATTCTTGTAACGCATACGAGGTTATCGACATATGGTGGTGTTATCAATCACCCTACAGCACCCGTGGAAGTCAAAAGATTCTTTCGTGCCGCCGGCCTATCTTCTGCACTAAATGTCTTGAGAGCAGCTATACAAGGAGAGGCGCGATTGAAGTCTATGCCTAACAACACAGTCATCATGATATCCTTTGCTGCATGCTCAGCACTTAGTCTTAGCGTCATGCCAGAAGACAGCAGGTCTAGTTTGGCGCCAAGTGTTCATAATCTGATCGAGGAAACTGCAGGGGTCCTCGAGCGTATCGGAGCTACTACCCGCCATAGAAACGGCGCCTCTGTTCTCTATGGGCGCTTTTTGAGGGCGCTTGTCAGACGCGCTCCTGTAAGCGCAGGCTCCCAGAACGGACCGCGAGGCTTGGTCGAAACGGGGGCCCTACAACCTCCGCCAGACTTGGATGGGTATTGCCCAGTGGCTTCCGGGACACAGCCATCCTCGATACCGTCGTCTTTTATATGGCCTGAACCACTCAGATTTTCTGCCATGTCCGATGACCAAATCATAGACGCAGTGAACCGGGCTGGCACTGCATTTGGGACAACTGTGCCTGACGTCCCACTGGATGACCTAATGACTTGGGACTGGTTCGACGTCGGAAATGCGGCAGATTTTGGCTTCTGAATGGGTGGAAGCTTGCGCGCAGATCGGTGGCTACGCGGATCGATGGATGATCTCATTTCTGGTTCCGATCCGAAGGGTCCTGGGAGCTCCGCCGCTCGGCGACTAGAAGTAGCGCCGAGTGCCGAGGGGTGCCGTTCTCAGCCTCTCATATTAACCAGCCCGATTCCCTGCTTTTTCTAACTGGATAGCCTCTGCAACACTTTTTCGATCGCTATTCAGATGATTTTGTCGCCACGAGGGAAAATGGCAACCATTCGATTATCTGCGTCGGTCTTGTCGCGAAGGTTGATGCTCCGTCCGCAATGCTATCGACGGTCGCAACCACTCACGAGCCTCTATGCGCCTCCCGCTACTAAAGCCGGTAGCCGGGCCAGATACTCAACTTCTACACATGAGCAAGCTCCGCGGGCTCCGAAGATTGATCGTGCCGCTTCAAAGTTATTTAAAGATGCGGATGCGGCCGTAGCAGATCTGAAGAGCGGGTCAACCATTCTTAGTTCAGGCTTCGGCCTATGTGGTGTCGCAGGTAAGGTCTCTCCTCGCGCTTTGCCAGATAATAATACAGTTTGACTGACAAAAAAAATCTACTGTAGAAACGTTGATCTCTGCGATACATCGCAGAGGGGCCGACAACTTGCATTCCTTGACGGCGGTTTCGAACAATGCTGGTCTCGCTGGGAAGGGCGGGCTGTCTATCCTAACGCAAGCGGGACAGGTCAACAGACTCATACTTTCCTACCTGGGAAATAACAAAGCTCTGGAGAAGAAATACTTGACGGGAAATATTGCCATCGAACTG